CACACACACACACACACACACACACACACACACACACACACACACACACACACACACTTTGGTGTTCAGGTTCAACACTGCCATCTGGTGGTTACACCTTTGCACTGCATTAAAAATGCACTTACTTTCACAAATATTGTAAAACAATTTAAACAAAACAGAGGAAAAGTATTGTACAAACACAGCTTTGTACCTTGGAAGTAAAAATTTACAGGTAAAGCAATTTGTCTGTTAACTTGGCACGGATAAAAAAAACAGAACAAAGGCCACAATGGGTGTGTTTGATTTCGACTTATTTATGGAGAAAAATCTTAATGTTTTCACGCAAATTACTACAAAAGTTCACACTCTCATGTCAGATTTGAGGCAAGAGCAAATCTAGGCAGGCTGGGAATTTTAATGCTGGCTTTGCTGGGGCTTGAAGCAGTCCCAGCCTGGCTTTGGGGTGTACGTGATCTCAGGGAGAAGAAAGTTCTTCAGTCTGTCGGGTAAAGGCAAGGCTTTGACTCTGCTTTCCAGAGGCCAAGGCTGCAGGTAACTCCTTATAAATACCCGACAAAGACAATGTAGAGGTGGTGGGCTTGCTTCACGCGCCACTACACGACTGTGCAGGTCTGCCAGCACCTGAGCGTAAGGGTGAGAGTCGTGGGTGGGCACGGGAAGCTCCAGCTGGGGAGGGAGCTGCAACGTGGGGAAGTTTACCCTCGCCAGGTCCAGCAACAGCTCAGCTTGCTCCAGGAGCTCCGAGGCATGACTCTGATCCGAGCACTTCTGCAGGGCTGTTTGGAGCCTCTGGAAGAGGAGGCTGTAACCGGACCAACAGGAGGAACTGTGATGGGAGCAAACCAAAGAGGCCCCGCTCTGGATTAAGAGCACAGCCAGAGGGAAGAGCAGGTCGAAGTGCTCCAGGCTGGTCTGAGTCAGGGAGGGCTCACCGTCCTCACTCAGACGGCAGCTGGGGTCCACGCCGTGAGCCAGCAGCAGGCGGGTGGTTTTCAAGCAGAAGTTCCCAATCTCAGCAGCGTCCTCCACACTGGCCTCCAGAGCCTCTTTCACCAGAAACACCAACGACGACTCAACTGTTTCGCCGTCTAATGTTGAGGCGTTAACGTCAGAACCTTTATGAAAGAGAGGATCACCAGTCAACATGTTTCTGATCGATTGAAAGGAGTCGACACTATCAGAGTAAATAAAATATTTATTGAGAATAGACATGAGTTTTGACTGATTTTTAGGCAGGGCATGCCGTTTTCTCAACTTTCACAAAGTTTGTGAGAAGCCACATTCCACTGTCTGTCTCTTGTGACTTTTTCATAATAAATACTGAAGACAGGAAATCTGACTCAGAGGCTCTCTAGCCTGTTTCACTCTGTTAAAGCTGACTTACTTGAAACAAAATTAAAGCTTGTATCAGATATCTATAATCACATGATCAATGTCGTTTGAGGCATCACGATAAATCACCAAAAGTGAGGTAAACACTTCGAATCTTCCAAACTGTTTTATTTATTGTAAGAAAGTTGATGGCTGCTATAGTCACAGCTGACCACTAGATGTCACTGGTAGGTTCTGTCTTTCACGCTTTCAAGCTTCAAATCTTTTTTTGTTTTTTACAATTAGAAAAAAGCTACAAAAGATTTGCTCATTGAGTAACTACTTGAATTAGAATAACTGAAGAATGTTTGAAGAAAAAAAAATGTAGGCATACTGAGCTTTTTTATACTTAATTTGTAACAAAAGAGCATGTTACAGATTTTCTTGATTGCTTTGACCTGCTTAAAGAAACTGGGATCCACTCAGTTTTCATCTTCACCATCGCAGCAGAGCAAAAGCCACCTCTTGCAAATGTGTTAACACTTTCTCATTGAATTGACACTTTTTCTGCAAAAACAGTGACCACAGATGTCATTCAACCAGTCATTGTTTTCATTAAGGTAACTCATCAGAAACCACCTTTCCTAATCATTGGAAGCTCCTGAGGTCAGAATGAAATCAGTGAAGCCCCTGTTTGACATTACTATACACAGATCTTGGTGGAAGTGTAGTTAGAAAGGCTCAAGTTTCAGAAGCAATTCGGGCAACTGTTAATGTAATTTTTTATTCTCTTTACAGTATTTTCTGTAATATTTACAGAGTTTCAGTTTAGGGGTCGACCGATACATCGGCCGGCTGATATTTTTGGCCGATATTTGCGTTTTTTCTTTGTATCGGTATCGGCCGATACACTGTCCGTTCGGCCGATCCGTTCTTTGGGTCACGCGAGCGCATGTGTCTGCCCCTTCCCCCGGGGAGAGCGCAGCAGCTAATGTTGTGAGACAGAGTGCTAACAACAACAAGGGTGAGTTATGAACTGTAAATGTGTTTTAACTGTCTAATTTAGCTGTTTCTACCCTCTGTGTCGGAATATGAGGGAAAAGAGAACAGCTGTGTTTAAGTTTCTTTTCCAGACGGGAGCGCTACGACATGTTTTACTTTCACTTTCRCACCGCACTGTAATCAGCGTGTCCGCGTTGTTTTTCTTTTTTAAAATGCTGGAGCTGCTCACATGAGGCATAGAAAAACACCTCTATTGTTCTCCCTGCTGGATTAAAATAAAAAAGCTTTTGGTCTTTTCTCGCTGAACGTTTTAGCGAGCGCAGCCATCCACCATCATGTGAACCAGACGCTGCTCACATCACGTTTACTGTCACCGCAGTCGTGATGCTGGTTCTCTTCGGTGTACATTTCAAACTGTGATCTAAAGTTAACATCAGCTGGTTTAAATGCATTTTTTGCCTGGTGTTAAAAACTGGAGCAGCAGAATGAGGCAGAGAAGCTGTGAGCGCTGTGTGTGTGTGAAGTCCTCACAAAGATAGCAAGATGTATGTATCTCTTCTTTTTCTCTGTGTTGCTCTGACAGTTTTATTTAGGCTNTAGGATTCAGACCAAATATTTATGTATTATTGTAACCAACAAGACAAATTAAGTCATATATATGGATTTAATTATGATATCAGAATGATCCAGGTGTCAAAATGTAGCTCTTAAAGCCAAGAATCTGAAAATGTAATCAGGTCATTTGGACCAACTTTGACTTAATCCTCATTTCGATATGATGGCTCACATTTTAATTTGAAGTTGACCCATATTTGTGTTTTTTTCTTGTATGTTTTCCAATACATGCACGCATTCACCTTTACATTTTTATATTTTTATAAAGTGGCCACCGGTGTTTTTGCTGTCTTGATGAAGTAATAAATTAATTTAATGATTTCTTTAACTTTTTTAAACCTCTGTGTTGTAATTTCTTGTTTACTGTTTATACTGATTGTATTAATGACAAAACGTAGCCGAGACATTTTATGCTTGTTTGCTTTTAGCAAGTCCAGGAACAACAGATGAACAAAAAAAGCCTTTGGCTAATTCTGGTGCATTTACAGAAATGTCCTTTAATGCAGGGGTTCTCAAACCGTTTGGGTCTGGGGACCACTTACAAGGACAAAAGACAAAATTCCAGGGACCCCCTCATAAACCCCACACTGTTTTAAAAAGACAATTTATTGTCATTTCAACCCCTAAAAGCCATATACATTTTTATTAAGTTTAATACATTTGTTTTATCGGTTCATTGTTTTCCATGCATTTTTAAAAATAAAACCAAATTAACATTTTTGTAAAAAAATTTTGAGGACCCCCAAGATACCTCTCGCGGACTCCTGGGGGTCCAGGGACCCCAGTTTGAGAACCTCTGCTTTAATGTGCATCTTCCCTTCTTATTCACTTCAATTCAAATCAAATCAATGTTCTACATTGTTTGCTTTCCATTATTAATACACTTTGTTAGTTTTAATAAATGTTTCTTTACTGTTTAAATCAAGTGTGGTAGCATTTAATAAAGCTTGCATCAGACAAGGCTTAGTTAATAAATGTTTTTTGTTTTTGTTTTTTTTTTGTTTTAAATTAAGACTTGTAACATTTGTTATCATTCTTATTTTTATCATGTTAATGGAGGAAGAAAAAGTAGTATCGGCTTCAAGAATCGACCAAAAAATATCGGCTGCACGTATCGGCGTATCGGTTAGACTGATGTTTAAAAAAATCTGTATCGGCCTTCAAAAACCTGTATCGGTCGATCTCTTCTTCAGTTTACAACCCCAGTTTGAAAGAAATATCATGGAATCAATAAAAATTGCTGTATTTTGTTGTCCGATATGAGATTGACTGGAAAAGCTCATACGCTTCACTGAAGTGAAGTTGTGTTGTATGGAGACAAATTTGCTTTTGTTTCATATTTTACATGTTTTTGCCCGGATTAAAGCCTTTCGCAAAAAAATGTGTCACTTTGCCCATCAGCACTACTGTTGAGGTGTGTATGTTCACTGTGAAAATGTGGAGTTTGAATTGAATGCTGTATCAAAGCAACCAACAAAAACTAATGTTGCTACAATATGTTTGAGTTGCTTGACGTGGTGGAACTTGAAGAAACCCTAGGCTTTGAGCAACCCTTCCATGAGATCTTTGTCCTGATTCTCTAAATTAAGATCATGCTGACAGCTAATTAAAAAGTAAAAAGAAAAGAAAAAACATTTAAGTACCTCTTTCAAGTAGAAGCCTGATGTTCTCCGTAATGTGGACTGTTAACCCATCGCTGCATGCTAATGCGTGGAGCAAAGGCGTCTTCCCTGGAGAGACAAGATCAAATCAATAACCTTTCATTTGAAAGAAACAAACATATAAACTGGTGTTTTTTTTTCCCCGTTAGCTTAACGCATGTAAATTTACCATGGCTATCTCTTGCGTTCACATCAGCACCCAGGTCCAGCAGCGTGAGCAGACATGGCAGTCTTTCTGACTCCTCACAGGCGAGGTCCAAAGGACTGCTCTCATGAATCTACAACACACAAAGTAGTCAGCATTTAAATCTCACTAGAAATTGTCAGAAAGCGTTGGACATATGAGGACACAGATACTCACTCGGTCCCGTTTTTCGATGTCTGCTCCATGCCCAACAAGCAGCCTCACCATGTTTGGCCTGTTCCTTAAAACAGCTATATGAAGCGGGTTGTAGTATGACACAGGGTCTTGAGAGAGAAAAAAAGAATAATAATAATAATAATAAAAAAACATTATTAAACAAACTGAGTATTTATCAGAGGTAGATAATGTGATAAACGTATTTAAAGGTTTGACATCCAAGTCCACAGTTGGCGTTGAAGTTTTGCATCTTAAAAAAAATATGATCAATGTAGGAACGCACATACTGTGGAAATATAAAGGTAAAAACAAGCATATGTTTTAAATATAGACTATAATAACTAAAACTCTTGTTTCTGTGATGTGGTTGTTAGAATGCTTGTGGCCTACTTTTGAGCTTAAAAGCAAGCAGTGGCAAATACTAGAAAATATAGTGAAACTGGAGCACTTTTGCATGCATTGTCAGAGCATTTGTCAGTACTAACTTCCAGAGGAAAGACATTCAAGAAATGTGAGAGATGAATGAAGCAGCCTGTGCAAAAACCCTCTAATTATGTCCCCAAGGAAACACATGTCTAAAACCAGCAGAGGTCACCAGAGCAGTTTGTCTGAGTCCTGGCAGGTGCAGCAACATGTGAGGAATGTGTTGCTACACAGCAGTGCAATCTGCACTTAGATCTGGAAAGCTATTTCTCTCAGGAGTACGACAATTTGGCCTTTATAAATATGATAATTTCTGAATACATTAGGCACATAGGAGTGCTTGAAGATTTAAAATTGATTGAGTCAATAAGTGTTTGTTTGAAACAATGAGAATAAATAGTTGATCTCATCAAGACTGTGAGCCAAACATAAAGGATTAACTAAAAACAAAGCATTTTAATAATGTGCTCAATTAACATACAGTTTAACCACATTATTAGCAGACATGTCAAACACAGAGTGAAATTCATTTGCATTCATTTGAAAATTATTTTGATTCATGAAATATAAAAATATATATTTTATTTACATTTTTACACAAAGAATGACTTTATTTTGAAGTTTTAGCAGTGAACAAGCAGCTTCCTGTGAGTGTGATGATTTGTAAGGATATTGGGGGAAAATGTTTTAACTGATATTTAAACTCCATCAGAGTGTAGTGATGCTATTTTACCTTCAGAGAAACTCACCTGTTTGTTTCAGCTGCTGTTTTATAACAAAGCATTGTTTTGATGGTTTTAATGTTTTGGCTCATTGTTGTGTTGTTTTTGTTGACAGAACATGCACGCCCATGGCTTGTCTCTTTGGGTCTCGTCCAGCAGCGGGACGCACAAACGAGTCCCGCCCCCTCCTCGGAGGAAGGTCCGAGCGCTGTAGTGCACGTGTGCAAAACGTAGGAAGGTGAGGTGGGGGGGCACATTCAGACGCTGTTTTCCAGCTGGCCGTGGTGGTTGGCCGTGGCCGGAGAGTTCTGCTCGTTCATGAGGAGGAGCGACGTCTCGTCCGGGCCGTTCTCCACGGGGGCGGAGTCTGCGCACAGGTCTGTGATGGTGATGTTGGTGGGCGGAGTCGTAAGCTCCGGGCGGCCCGCCGTGTGGCAGCTCTCGGGGGACTGAGGCGTGCTGTCCAAACGAGACGCCATCAGACCGTTCTGGTACTGAGCTCGTGTGATCTGACGCAGGGAGACAGAAGATTTAAGTGCTTCAAATACAAAACATCAAAGAAAACATCTTTCTATTTAAGAAACTTGGCATAAAACACAACTTCACACATTTTGTCACATAAATGGTATATTTTCTTTTGAACTTGGCTCAGTAAAAGTAAAACAGGAAGTGACATCAAAGGGAAACGATTTAAGAAAATAAAACTCTGGTCTTTGTTTACTGAAACAACATTAGTTGAACTCTGACTCTTCTCTCTAGCTGCGTTTCCACTGACCATGAAAATGCGCAAATTAGAATTTCGAAAATAAATTTGCTCAATGGAAACACGCCAATTTTGAAAAAAATTTCGTTTTTCGACAAAATGTTTTTGCGCTAGGATGAGGTGGTTTTTCGGTCGTATCGATTTTTCGCAAAACTGCAATGGAAACACTTTTTTCGTATCACTAGAGTCACGTGATCAACAACCGGCTGTTTCTACTGGTGAAAAAGACGACGAAGAAGACAACAGGAAGTAGAAGTAGTAGTAATATCACAGAAGTAGTATAAAATAGTAAACTCACCGACTACAATTTCCCAAAAACACAGCATACGTAGCCGCTCCCAAGTAGGGACNATGCCCTGCATGACCGACATGCTGCTGTTTTCCTGCAAAGCAAATATTTCAGTTCCATGAAATGTCCACACAGATCAGTCCTTCACAGGTGAAGCTTTTCAGAGGTTAAGCAAGTCCAGCTGGACCAGGATGTGTGGAGAAGAACTCTGCTGGGCTGCAGCGGAGCGCAACGCATTCATGTGTGATGAATGCCACCCTCATGTCAATCACATTACCTATTGAATGGACTCATTTTAGCCACCCTCTTTGTGCTTAATCACTTTTTAAACTAATTACAAAGTTGCTGTGCTGCTCATCATCCTTATAAACCTGCTTGTTGTTGTTTAGTCCCACGAGCTGCGGACATATCACCATAAGCCACAGCTCCGTGAGGTGTTGATCTCTGAGTCAGTGTAACGTGTGCAGGTTATCTACACAGCTGTCCGTCTGCAGCTAAACATTTTTAAAAATTTTCAGCCATGTACGAATAAAAAATAATTATTTTATATTAGCACAATATTGTTGTGTCCCAGAAAGACGTGCACTTCTTTGTCAGACCTATATAGAACGTTAGACCCTCACAATATTGACTTAACTTGTTACAAAAACTAAAATTAGTTTGAATTTATGTGTCTTCACAATTAAAACCTTTACATTATAAAACAATTTTAACTGATTTCTCTGATCATTTGGTTTTTAAAGCTTCAGTTTTGTGTGGAACAAACAATAGGAAAGTTTTTTTTTGGAAATTAAATATTAAAATCCTCATGGACCCAGATCTGAGTTGAAAAGTGAAAAAGAGACTCATGAGCTGCAAAGGATGCTGGGTAGCCTTGTGACAATAATTTGTGCAATGTTTATGACTGTAGAAATGACTGTTCTTGTTATATTCAAGTTTAGTTTGGCATTTCTGTTAAAGGCTGGAGGACATATGGTCCACTGTAACAGAACCTTCTGCAAGATTCGTACAGCTACAAATTAACACACTTAACAATGGGAAATGTGAATGATTTAAAATTCTGTTACAAACTAATAAATTATTTAGTTATAACTCAAAAGTCCAAGATCAAAGTTCATAAATTGCTATATGCTCCTATAAACACTTGAATTTTCTTAGATAAATGGACTTCACTAATAAATAATATTGTGTTTATCAATCAAATTATAATATGCCCAATGTGTTTGTGGTTTGAATCCCGACAACAAAAGTTTCCCTCAGATTCTGTAGTTGTTACTATGTTGTTGAGTTGATTTGCTCATCAAAGTAAAAGTCTGAACATGTTTTGCTTGGTACAGTGGCATATGGTAGAAAGTGAATTTTAGCGTCATTAAACACACTTTTGTTTGATGACAAGAGTCTCCAAAATTTAAATATAGACATGTACTTGTATTGTAGCTGCAATGACAGTCACCTCTCCTTGGTCACTTATGGACTGTGGAAGTTTATTTATTTATTTTTTTAGCCAGTCACCATAGATTCCATTGGACCTGCACTAAAATAAAGTCCCAGCATTCTCAATCAGTGCCAGTTTGTGAGCTTAACTGAAAATCTGTTTAATCCAACATCCAAAATCAATCCCTACTTTTCTCAAAGCCTCTTTTGTTGAGCGTAAATAATGACTTACATTTGGCTTTTCTCTTTCTACATGCAATGCAGCTCAGCTGACTTTGTCTTTTTTGTTTCTCTTTCAACCAACTTGTTTTTTATTTTATGTATTTTTTTACTTCTATTGCTTCTAGTTTACGATGATGATGATGTACTTTTTTTGCAGAATTGTGTGCCATAAATACTTAAAAAAACCCAAACAATAAAAAAATAAAGACATGTTACAAAACAACCCTATCCTTTCATGAGACAATCATGCCCTGAGGCTTTCAGAGTTTCCTTGGTGTGCAAAAATGCTTCCTTTTAGTAACCTTGTTTTCATATTTTCTTTACTAAACTATTCCTTAAACCAGTGGTTCCCAACATTTTTAGACTTGTGTACCCCCTGAGCCATTTTGTCATACCACTAGTACCCCCTTTGTCAAACGTAATAATGATTCTCCAAAACTATAATGTACAACAGCGTTTTATTAAATGAACATTATTTATTTAACCCCTACAACATTTAATTCTCAGACATTTTAWTCTTTTCAGTTCAAACTAAACATCAAGATAAATTAGTTGCCTTGAAAGTGAATAAGTAATTAAATAAATAAACCAGGTAAAGGCAGGTGCAGGAGGCAGCAGCTTCCAAAATACATTGTATTGTCCAAAATACATCAAATACCCCAAATGAGCAAATTTCGTGAGATTCCAAGTTTTATACTGGATTCCATTTTGTGTCAATGTCGTGATTCCGTTTGCATTTACGACATTGCAGAAATCATAGGGCCCTAAAAAAATCTCAGTCCTGTTTTTATATACTTTTTTACACACCTGGGAAATTTTTCCACGTACCCYCTGTAATATGTACACGTACGTGCYAATTGCAAATACATAAATWTGCAGAATATTACATTACACAACACGTTATAAACCAACCAACACGCTGTTTACTCACCTTCAAAGTTTATATCAGCTCCATATCGTAGGAGGATTTTGGCAGCGTACACCAGTCCCCTCTCTGCCACTTTAAACAGGGCATAGCTGATGCCTTCCATAAACACGTCTGACTGGGACTCCTGCTCCAGAAACTCMACTAAAGCGTTACATCGACTGGACTCGTCCTCAGGAGATCTGACAAAGAGGCAGAATGAGAAATGTTTCAATAAAACCTTTAAAATGACACAAGTGGTTTCATTGCATTGATTCTGACATAACATAAACTCTGATGCTGGAAAAAGATTAAGATAATACAAAATGTAGTTGAGTAGGTCCTCTGGACCAGTGCTGCCATCTCTTCTCCAAGAGACCTCTTCAGTTTTTTTTTTCGACAAAGAGGAAATACTCAACTTTTTAAAATGTATTTATCTTTACATTTCTGATGCAATGTTTAGTCRGCTGCCAGGAGTGTGACATTCAGTCCCCAACACTTCAAATACACAAGATTCAACTTTACCTGTTGTCCTGACTGCCATCTTCTTCCTCTAGACCAACAACACGCATCACAGCAGTTACAAGCGGTTGGTACTCGTAAATKATTCTCCGAAACCCATGGAGGAAAGGCATGGTTCCTCCACTTCTGACAACACTCGGGATCTAAACACGACCAACGAGCAATGAATGAATGTGAATAAATGACGAAAACACCTGCTTTTACATTAAATGTTRTTTTTGAGACTGTAAATAGTTATTTACTCATATGAAAACGCTATCTGTTGCTCTCGTTTGTACAAAGTTCAGTATTATTGACAACGGATGGCTGTCTGACTGACTGTAGCTGACATGCTACAGCTAACGCCAATGCTAGCTCCGTTGGCTCAGTTAATTTGCATTGCTGACTTTTATTAACAAAACCGAGTTAAATGATTATTTAAAACGTGGACAAAAGTCATGTAACGCATAAACATCAACAGATACTCACAACAGCCGCTTATCTTTTCAAAGCAGGAAGTTTTCTTCACGCCTACAACAGTCCCACCCTTATTTTATTCCCGATAGAACCGCAAAGCAGGCAACGGTTCCGGGTCACATTTTATATAAAATATTTAAATAAGTAAAAATAAACGTAATGAACTGAATATAATTTTAACGCTATWAGAATATTAATAGTTAACATATGAAACAGAGATGCTTCATACACTGTGGCTAATTCACTGATGAAAAGTAAAACACGCCACTGAACAGAAATGTCAGCTACAATGTATTTGCTCTACAACCATCAACATAATGGTTGTAATAAATCATTTTGACATTAATCTGTATTCGACACCAGTGTCATTGTTGTGATTTATTAAACAACTATATAAATAATTTACCCAATATTTTAAAATGTATGCATTAATTTAAACAGGTGAGCAATGGCGGCTGCAGAATTTTGTTTCGGGGGGGACACTGAAAAACCAGGGGTGGCGCACACCAAAACTAATATCTACAACAAAATGTTTATGAAGTGGTTATGAAAATGACAATTTGAAAACCATGACAATATAAATCTATAGATTTGCCAACAGATGTTCAGTTTGTAATTTTACCCATATTACTGATTTTGTGATGTTTGGAGATAGAAAAAAAAAAGAACCCAAACTATCTGCACTTCTGCAACAGTCCATTTCTAACTTGTTCTGTTTCTGTACACACGGAGTACCATGAGTTGTCCTTACACTGTTACATTTTTCAGTGGCATCAGAAGTACTTGTAATGTTGGGGAGACCCACTGGCGGGGGGTCTGGGGGTCCTCCCCAAGGAAATTTTGAAAGACTTAGATGCCATTTCCTGCATTCTGGATTACATTAACAGGTTGTTAAACAGACTTTTACCTACTTAGGAAAACACTTAATGTGATATTCTACACATAAAAAGGAATAAATTTATTTGTTAAGCAAGAGAAACACCGTGTGAACTAATATTTTATGATAAATGTGGGGGTTCAAATGAATTAAATTTTAAATGTGATGGAGAAACTTCCCTTCAAAAATGATTGCTGTCATTTTATTTAAAAATGTCAAAATAAATATTTTAAAGACATTTACAAGGAACAAGCTTTTAAAAACTTAAAGCCATCACCACTTCTATGTATGTTAAAAGTTTTATTTGCTTGTTGATGTTTATTTTGTGAACAAAAATTAATTATAAATACCCAAAACTGAAAATAAAGACTAAAACAAGCACAATTACAAACTACATGGAGTGTTATCC